GAAAACCAACAAATAATTTCACAGATATCAACAGCACATCGATTAAATCAGCTGTTTAATAAACAGACTCATTTTGTGCACATTAAAATCACGGTTTTGTGTTCTTCTGTAAATACCTGCAGACCTGTTTGTCGCCCAACCATAAAACATGCCCTCATATTTGGCAGAAATAGCCAAATTAATGGGCTTTATGTGTGATTTATAGTGCTGTACAAGAAACTGATAATGAGCAGCCCTCGAATGAGCTTCTCTATTATTGGCAACCATTGTACAGAAGCTTAACCCAAAGATTCCTTTTGTTTCCTGAACTCTGGTCCAAACCATTAAAACAGCAGGACATGTTTCTTGGGATGTGATAACACCCACATATTACAATTAGAGAGATCTGCTCCTCTTTCATCATCATCAATCTGTCTAAATGATTTCTTGCTCATTTTCTCTCCGCCTATCTCTCTCTCTCTCGTGATGAAATCATCTTGTGAGGTTCCACAACCTATTTGAGGAATGGGCTGTTTGCTCCAAATGGTACAATAAAATGACAATTCACTGGGAACACGATGTTCCCCCGAATTCACGCCAGTCTTGCAGATTTTTTTCTCTGTCAGAGTTTTGTGATATATGCTGCTAATATCTTAATTCACAAAAGCAACACCTTTGAAACTTTTGGTCACTCTCTGAGATATTTTGTTCATTTTCAAGTCACTTGTACACATCATTGTCATTAAGTATAATTAATGACTTGAATTGAAACATTTTCATCAAAGGATGAAAAAAGGTGTTGATGACAAATATTCAGTTAAATATCCAATAGATCTACAGTGTACAGTTTTCTTTCCTAGTAGGTCTGATCATACACTAAAAAATGTTTTTTAATATTATGAGATAAAAAGGTATGATCATAGGATATGAGATGATGTAACTTTGTTTTCGCTACAAGGGGTTGTGGATTCATATTGACAGTTTATTTTATAAACCAACTGTGACTGTATTGTATATGTATATATATATATATATGTATATATATATATATATATATATATATATATATATATGTTTCAGGGCTGACCCAGTTGCAAACGTGATATTTATTTACAACAATTCAATAATAAGAAGTTAATATTGTGGTATATATTAGAAACAATATTGTCTGATTTTGCTAAATTGTGTACGTGAAAATATTACCTATAAAGCCACAGAAGAACTGGTGTGCATCTCCTAATAAAACACAATAGGTGTTGGACTTGAAGCAGCACTGCATAGACTGTTCTGTGTGTGACATCAAAGTACCACGAGAGCGATTAGACAGCATTTAAAAACAATTTTATTTGATGTCAAATAGGTCTTGCTGTTTTGCTTTTTTGTTAAAGCAGTGTTGCTGTTGTAAAGTTGTACAGCTACAGTTGTGTTGGTGGGTTTTAAAGCAGGTTTGATTTTTTTTCTTCCTTATCACTCTGTATTTATAGGATTTCACTGTCCACTCTGTTCAAATGTGAACAAATGGTTACACATAGATGTGTGCACACACACTGTCAGGGCTGTGTGAGATCACTACCATCCTGCTTTTGTGGGGGTGGGTAGGGGTGTTCATTTTTTCCCCCATAGGTTTTTAACATTCTAAATGCTCTTTATTCCAAAGATACTACAAGCTAGTAAGTGTAATGTACTCTAAGTTGCATCAGAAGTATTGCAAGTATTACGTAAAACAATAAAACAGTGCATTTACATAAAAAAGGAAATTTACTTTTGGTACTTAAGTACTTTTAAAAGCAAGTACTTCTGTACTTTTACTTAAGTAAAAATCTGTCTTTACAACTTTTACTTGTAATGGAGTAATATTTGTAATAACAGAAATAACACAGGAATAACTCAGTAATAACACAGGAATAACACAGGAATAACACAGGAATAATTCAGAAATAACACAGTAATAACAGAAATTACTCGGGAATAACACATTAATGACACAGTAATAACACAGGAATAACACATTAATAACACCGTAATAACAGAAATAACACAGTAATAACAGAACTAACTCAGTAATAACACAGTAATAGCTCAGTAATAACGCAGTAATAACACAGGAATAAGTCAGAAATAACACAGTAATAACATAAATTACTCGGGAATAACACATTCATGACACAGGAATAACACAGGAATAACACATTAATAACACAGTAATAACAGAAATAACACAGTAATAACAGAACTAACTCAGTAATAACACAGTAATAAAACAGAAATAACACAGTATTAACAGAAATAACACAGGAATAACTCAGTAATAACACAGTAATAACGCAGTAATAACACAGAAATACAGTAATAACAGAAATTACTCAGGAATAACACATTAATGACACAGTAATAACACAGGAATAACACATTAATAACAGTAATAACACAGGAATAACTCAGTAATAACACAGTAATAACGCAGTAATAACACAGAAATACAGTAATAACAGAAATTACTCAGGAATAACACATTAATGACACAATAATAACACAGGAATAACACATTAATAACACAGGAATAATTCAGAAAAAACACAGAAATCACACAGAAATAACACAGTTATAACACAGGAGTAACTCAGTAATAACACAGGAATAACACATTACTAACACAGTAATAACACAGCAATAACACAGTAATAAACACAGGAATAACACAGGCTTAATACAGTAATAACACATGAATAACAGTAATAACACAGGAATAACTCAGTAATAACAGTAATAACACAGAAATAGCACACTAATAACACAGGCTTAACGCAGTAATAACGCAGGAATAACACAGTAATAACACAGTATTAACAGAAATTCCTCGGGAATAACACATTAATGACACAGTAATAACATAGGAATAACACATTAATAACACAGTAATAACACAGTCATAAAACAGTAATAAACAGGCATAACACAGTAATAACACATGAATAACAGTAATAACACAGGAATAACTCAGTAATAACAGTAATAACACAGGAATAACACACTAATAACACAGGAATAACACAGTAATAACACAGGCATAACACAGGAATAACAGCGTAATAACACAAGAATTACACTGGCATAACACAAGAATAACACATTAATAACACAGTAATAAGACAGGAATAACACAGGATTAACTCAGTAATAACACAATAATAACGCAGTAATAAAACAGGAATAACACAGTAATAACACAGAAATAACACAGGAATAAATCAGTAATAAAAGAAATAACACAGGCATAAGTAATATGCATAACACAGTAATAACAGAAATAACACTGGATTAACACAGTAATAACACAGGAATGACAAATTAATAACACAGTAATAACACAGCAATAACACAGGAATAACACAGTAATAACACAGCAATAACACAGGATTAACACAGTAATAACACAATAAAACAAAATACTTTTCACTGCACTACATTTCTATCAAGGTCCTAGAAGTAGAAAGCCGTTACTATGTAGCAGCTTTGAAAGTCAGTGGGTGATTTTTTTCTTCTCTAAAATGTGACCCTCTTTTTTTTCAGACAGTTTATCAGTAATCACTCTTGAAGTGATTTCCCTGCATTTTTTGAACACTGCCCAGTTGCAAACGTGATATTTATTTACAACAATTCAATAATAACACCTTCCTTATCACTCTGTATTTACAGGATTTCACTGTCCACTCTGTTCAAATGTACACTGTTTTGCAAATATTTACATGTATATACATTTATATATTTTTATGATTCTATTTTAAATTATATATAAATATATTTAATATGTAAACATAACACATTTTCTTAAATATATACATGCATGTGTTTGTATTTAAATATACGTAATAAATATACACAGTACACACTCATATATTATGTAAACAAAAACGTTTATTTTGGATGTGATTAATCGTTTGACAGCACTAATTTAAAGGAACAATTAACCCAAAATGAAAATTTGCTGAAAATGTACTCACCCTCAGGCCATTCAA